CGTAAATCCTGATGACTACCGCAAGATCTCCTGCTGCTCAACCGCCAAGGAGATGTGGGATAAACTTGAGGTGACGTACGAAGGAACGGACCAAGTACGTGAAGCCAAGATTGACTTCCTCACCCAAGAATATGAGATGTTCAGGATGAAGGAGCACGAGAAGATCGACGACATGTTCGACCGATTTTCCAAGATAGTCAACGATCTTCATGCATTGAAGAAGACTTACACCGACAGGGATCTTGTACGAAAGATCCTACGAAGCTTGACATCCGAATGGCGATCTAAGGCTGATGCCATCTATGAGTCAATCGGCACATCAAATGTCACCATCGACAGTTTAAGAGGTAACTTAAAAACATATGAATCTACTATACTTAATCCGTCTTTGAATGACCAGAGAAAATGCATAGCATTAAAAGCCTCCAAAGAACCGACAATGAATGACTCAAGCGACGAAGATGAAGTCAAGCTCATCATGAAGAAGTTTTGCAAACTTCTAAAGAAAGAGAAGGCTGAGGATGGCCCTGTGCGCTATGGATGTGGTGAAGCCGGGCACATCAAGAACAAATGCCCAAGAAACGGAAGGAATGCTCGTCACTTCAAAAAGCAAAGAGCATACATCTCTTGGGGTGGCGACTCCGGCAATGAGTCAAGCGAGCAAGAGGAAGACGAGGAAGCAAACCTTTGTCTCATAGCTCAAGAAGAAGAGGAGTCCGCCAACGACGAAAACCAAGAGGTATATAATTCTTCTACCGGTTCTTATTCTCTTGAAGAAATGCAAGAAGCTCTCCAAGAGCTTTATGACGAGTTTGTTAGCGCTTCTAAAACCAACAAAGCTTTAAAGAAATGTTTTTCTAATCTTGAAACTGAGTTTGAAAAACTTCAAAAGGAAAACGAAAAACTTAAAGAGGAAAATAAATTTTATGGTAAAAGAAGCGCCGACAAACCCGAGAGCTCTACAAAAAATTGTGACACTTGCATAGCTTTGAAAGAACAAGTCACAAAACTTGAGAGTACAGTTAAGAAATTTAATACTCCGCACAAAGATCTTAATTTACTCCTTGACACTATGCACTTTTCTAAAGAAGGAATAGGCTTTAATAAAAATGAAGCTAAGGATAAAGAAAACATTGAGCAAACACCTAGACAACCTCCTAAGGCTCAACGTAAGAGAGCTAAAAATCAAGTTAATAGAAAAACTAGTCAATCTAAGAACACTAGACAACCTAGACAAAAACCTAGGAATGAAAACGTTCATAGTAGACAACCTAAGAAAAATTATCAAAATGACTTTGTGCATAAAAATAATTTTTATCAAAATAGAAGAGACAATATGAGAACACCTAGAATTGATCCTTTTGAAAACATGCATAAACCATCCTTTTCTCAAAATAGGACAAACATGGTTAGGCCCCCTAGCTATTATCCACCTAGGCATATGTTCAACCCAAACGTAGTATGCCATTATTGCAATAGGGTAGGACATATAGCTCCCGTGTGTTTTACAAGACATAGGCACTTCACCTATAATGAAACACACAACATATTTGGTGCTAACGAAAAGAAATCCTTTGGAAAAGGATATTCGTATCATAAACAATCTCCACAGGATAATGCACAAAAGAAACCTTACTATTTCTTCTACTTTGACGAAAAGAAGAAAGTCCACATTCCGTTACCAGAACCAACACAAATCACACCAAGATATCGGCACTCCGTTCAAGTAGATTGGAACCCGCCAACCACGAGATCATGGGTTGGCCAAGGTAATTCCTAAACGATCATCTAATTGTGTGTGTGTGTGCGCGTGTGTGTAAGGAAACGAATTTTGGGTGTGTGTGTGGGCAATAAAGGTTAACTAACCCCCAAGGACCCATAGACATACTTTGGGTACCAAAGTGTTGTTTTTTTTGCAGGTACGTATCAAAGTGAGGAACTCAGGGGGAACCAGCCATGGGTGGTTTATCCCATCGCTGGGAAGGAAGTATTTTCTAAACAGCAGCCCTCTTCCCATCGCTGGGTGTTTGTCACTTTTTTCTCCCTTTCCAGTACCTGTCTTCCCATCGATGGGAGAACCTTACCATCGCTGGGAAGCCTGCTGCAGTTCAAAAATCACAGCCGTTGGGCACCTCATTCAATGACCAACAGCCATATTTTTTAACACCAAGGGCCCAAATTCTCATTTTATAAATATTAACCATCCTTGGTCATTTTTAACACACAATTCACATTCCTCTTGCATACTTTCTAAACGCTTCAACAATGGCCAGAGGAAAGTCAAGGACCAAAACCGAGGCTTCAAAGAAGAAGGCCAACACCGATGCCACGACATCTTCTTTATTTTCTCCTTATTAAATATGATTGTATTTTTATCCGTTGTATTCTGCATTTCCCTTTTAATGAATAAAAGTTTACTTTTAATTCTTTTTGTTAATGTCAAAAGGGGGAAGATATAAAGGTTATGCATAGATTTAGGGGGAACTTTTTCTAAAACTAACTCTTATTCAACACATAAACTTTGTTGAAAAGAAAATTGCATTTATTAAGGGGGAACATTTTTTAAGTCTCAAATCAATCCTCCTATGCAAAACCCCGTCTTGTTTGCCATTATCAAAAAGGGGGAAATTGTTGAAACACGGGTTTATCGTGTTTTCGTACTAAAGCCGTGTTCGTTTTTATGACAGGTTTTGATAATGCCAAACCGCCGTGAACGAGACAAGTTATTGAATATACAAGGCGAGAAATAAATATAAGAAGAAAGCAAGAGAACAAGACCCAAAAGAAGACCAAGAACGAAGACCGTTGTCTTAGTGTTGTTGAGTCGGTCATAATTGTGATCAAGACCGACCCAACCTTTACACCTTGGCTCTTTAGGCTAAAATTCTTTTCATTGCATTTCACACATCATAAAAATGTTTTTCAAACATGTTTAAAACATTAAAAACACTTGGTGTTCGCCCAAACCAAAAATCAAGCCATCCGGCGTTCGGGTTTCAGAAACCGGC